CACCCAGCTCACAGCAGCGCAGCTCGGCTATGGCTGCGTGCTCCTTCCCTGCTCGCCCGTGAGAGTGTAGGCGCCAGCCAGCAAATAGCGCAGCATGCAGCCAGCACCCGAATGCCGAATGAGGAGGCAGGCCCTTTCCTATATCTAATTGGCCTGCCTGCGTCCAGTCCCGGGAAGCTTCCAGTAGGCCCCGGTAGCCTGAGGCCCAACACGACGAGAGCAGGCCTTGGGCCTGAGGTGGTTGCATGTGCCCGACTGCCTTCGGCCTGTGTTTGGCCCGGTACCCGTATCCAGCCCAGGGCCTGCTTCACATACATTCACACAGTCGGCCCAGGGCCTGGGTTCACTCAACCAACTGGCGCTGCGCAACTACGTGAATTTCCCTGAGTTGTGTGGTGGCCAGAAAAGGGCCCTGAGGGCCTCGTCGAGCCTGCCTTCACTTAGGGCGGCCGACGGGCTGCAAAATGGGGCCTTATGGGGCTCATTGAGGCACTGGCCTCGCATTCCCTCCTCAGCTTCAACAGTACTCTGAGAAGCTCAATCTTCGATCATAGGGCGCTTTCCCTTCTCCAGAGATCTCTCGTATTGAGATACAACTTGAGGAGCGGTCTGCATGAGCTCTTCCCTTGTGAACCAACAGTCCTCCTTTGGGTCAGTGTGATGCCGGAACCGAACGGGGTACTACAGCTTCGGTTTCGGAGGACGTCCCCTTCCTGCAGGTCTCTGAGATGGCAGCTCCCTGTGATCCACGATGTCATCAATATCCACTTCTCCATCCATGGTTGGGGGAAGCATTGAGCGACGAGAAGGAAACTCATCTGTTTCCTTGAAAGGTGCAAGTTTGGAAGCGTGAAAGACAGGGTAAGTTCGAAGGTGACCAGGGATACGGATAACATAAGATGGGCCATCCGGATCTGTCCCAACGATGTCTAAGACTTCCCATGGTCCAAAGTATTGTGGCATGAGCTTGCGGGAGATCCCGTGCTCCTGTCCTAGTTCTGAGGACTTAACCCAGACTCCGTCCCCAACCTGAAATGAAGATTCACGGCGGGGTTTGTTCGCAAATTCTATCATAGTCGCCTGTGCCTTTTGCATCTGTTCTACAGCCTGCTACATCTTCTGTTCATAGCGGTAAACGAACTCTAACATACCTGGTGCAGCACTCAGCTGGTTCTCAGGAAGGAGAAAATGCAAGGGTAGTCTAGGCTTGAAAGTTGGTAGCAAACTGTTCGGGCTCACCCTGGTGGCACTATGTACTGCATTGTTATACAAATTGGCGATGAGTGCAAGCTTCTCATCCCAGTCCACCTGGTTGGGCTTGATGTAATGCCTCAACAGGTGTCGTACAACGCGGTTCAGTTGCTCGGCCTGGCCGTTGGCCTCTGGGTGATTCCCTGAAGTCCTTTGCAACTGGGTTCCCTGCTCTGCAGCAGCGGTCTTCCACAATTCGCTGGTAAATCGGACATCCCTGTCACTGATTATGGATTTCGGTAAGCCAAAATCCCTGACCCAGTTCTCTTTAAACATTAGAATCACGTACTCCGTCTTTGCTGTTTCCGACAATGCTACTAACCTAGCATACTCACTAAATCTATCCACGATGACAAAGATGTGACGCATCCCACTCTTGCTGGTGATCAGAGTATCCATGAAATCCATCCCCGCTGCAGCAGGTTGGCTGCGGTCTTCTTATACCCAAAATGGCCGGTGGCATCATGACACTCACCTAAAAATAAACTACGCAAAGACTCGCTATTAGGAACACACAATCGTTTATTCCCTGCCTTCTCAAGGAACAGCAAGCCATTGACCAACTCAAACTCGGCAGAGGTCTTCTTGTCCTTTGCCTGAAGTTTGCGTATGATCTCAAACATGAACTGGTACTCGCGATAGGCTTCCACCAGAGACTGAGTAACATTGTCCGTCAGATCGAACTCAGTAATCAGCGCACCTGAGAAGTCCGGTCTGCGTGACAAGGCATCAACAACCTTATTGTACTCCCCTTTGAGGTACTGAGGGTCAAAGTCATATTGCTCAATGACTTCGATCCAATGCTTGAGAGCGTCAGAGAGTACCGACTATGTTCTCATCCATCTCAGGGTTTGATGATCAGTCCTGAGGATGAAGAACCTCCCAAGAAGATAGTGTCTCCAATGGGTGAGAGCCTTGTACACAGCATAGAGTTCCTTTTCATAAGTGGACTTAGCCAACTTCTGAGACGGCATTTTCTTGGAGATGTACTCTACTGGCCTCAACTTTGGCCCCTCCTGCTGCGCGAGCACGGCGCCAATGCCATATTGGCTGGCATCCGTGGTGACTATGAACGGCTTGTCAGGATCAGGAAGTTTCAAGACTTCATAGTGCGTCAACACATGCTTCAGATGTCTGAAAGCAGCCTTGCACTCATCTGTCCACTCCCATGGGGTGTCAAGGCGGGTCAGATTAGTCAAAGGAGCGGCCACTATGCTATAGTTCTTAACGAAAGTCCTATAGTAGCCTGTCATTCCCGAGAAAGATCTCATCTCAGTCACAGACTGAGGACGTGGCCAATCACGAATGCTGGTCAGCTTCGCGTCATCGGGCTTCAACCCTTCCGCGGAAATCTCATGACCCAAGTACAAGACACGGGTACGGCCGAACTCGCACTTCTCACGGTTGATCTTGAACTTGTGTTGTCGTAGGAGGCTGCGGACTTTGTCCAAATGTGCAACGTGCTCCTCGACAATCTTACTAAAAATAAGTATGTCATCGAGGTACATGATGACAAACTTATCTAAGTAGTCATGGAATATCCGATTCATAGCGTGCTGAAAGGTGCCAGGAGCATTGTAAAGGCCAAAAGGCATCACCACAAACTCGTACAGACCGTACCTGGTCTGGAAAGTAGTTTTGTGCTGATCCTCGGGCCGGATTGCAATCTGATGGCACCCGGACTTTAGATCTATCTTACTGAAGTACCAACACCCTTGCACTCTATCTAACAGATCATCAATGCGCGGTAGGGGCTCTCTGTTCTTGACAGTGATGGCATTGAGGCCCCTATAGTCAATGCACATCCTAAGAGTACCCTCCTCCTTCTTAGGCACGAATAGAACTGGAGACCCATACCCTCCTCCTGATTTTGCTTATAATAATTGTAGAATGCGGCCGCACACATGCACCCATAGGGCTCAATCAGACTACTAGCTTTGAACTTATGTAATCTGGCGGTCCCTCCACCTGGCGGGTTGTGTTTGACCACTTTTCGGTCCTAGTCAAATTGGGGCTGTGCTACAGAGAGGTAGTACATACCTAGTAACATGTCCATTGGGAGCTCGTCACTCACTAGGAACGAGACACGATGTCTCAAGTCCCCTCCCGCGTACGGGAAACAACACTTTACATCCTGGAGGTAGTCGTTAACTACCATGCGCTGTTTGTTGGCACAGGTCCACTCCACAGGTCGACTCAGGTGCTGCACTCGCCCCTGTAAACGCAGCCTCTCAACGCACGCGCGACTGATAAAGTTCCTAGTCGAGCAAGTGTCATAATAGGCCCCGCCCTTGCGGCCGCCAATGACAACCTCGCTGACGAACATCTCACCCTTCGGGGCTTTGACTAGTGCCGTCCAAGAAGCTAGCGGGTCGGATAAAGACCACTCCACTTCTAGCTCCTCTAAGGACTCAAACACATTCATCGAACAAAGGCTCGATGGGTCTGAATGTGTTTGCGGGACGACGCTGGAGTTAGTAGCTTGGACCATCTCTCGAGATGGTGAGGGTGTCTCCACCACCTAGACCCTAGCAGGAACAACAACTATTCCTACTGGCCCAACATGTTTCCCGGAGCACTGCCTGATGTACTGGCAACGTTGCTACCAATGGGATGAGAGGATCCCAACACCTGCCCCATCGTAGGCGGGATCTTTTCTGTCACTTTCTTGTTGCGACACTTGAACCGGTTGTGGCCGTATTGACCACAACGAATACAGGCCTGCCGTGAGTAACGGTCTCTCCACGTCCTCTGTAAGACCCGCTTTCTCGCATGGAGGAGCATTGGGGTCAACTTGACTCCTCGACCGGGAGCCTCCGCGGCGTCTACCGGTCGCCTTACCTTTTTGGGCTACAGCACAGACCACTCCACCCTCTGAAGCGTCTACGTTGCCTGCCTCTGAACCTACTCCCTCCTGGAAGTTGTCGTCCAACTCGATGGTGGAACCATCGTTGTCGACAAACATCAAGCGACCTTTCGCTTTCCAGTTAGGAGGCAGTGTCTTCTTCCTCCCATCTGTAGTGGGTGCCTATCCATGCCCTATTTTAGCTTCTAGGTCTAGGGCCACCTTGCTGAACGAAGGAAAGTTGTGCATATTGATGTTGGCCTCTTTTGCCAACTGGTTCCTGAGAGGCTGAGAAAAGCATCTCAAGTATGAAGTCAACAGGACCTGGGGGTCATAGCGCACCCCTGGGACACAGATCAGACGCTCAACAGCGTTGGTGGCTTCCCTTACTGACTTAAATTGCCTTGCGTGCAATGTCATGATCGCATCAGTGGCCCTTTGGGCCTCCTGAGGATCACGCCACCTTTCTTCCACCATCTTCAGGAAGTCCTCCAAGTTTTGGGAGGCCGCCCAAGCGCGGAAAATCATGACCATACCCCTGGAGTTGTACTAAACCACTCAACCATCTTGTTGCACTACCCTCTAGGTAGGAAGCAGCCACAAGCACTTCTTCGTGCGGCAAGGTGAGTTTACACCTGACGTAGATCAGCACTGCCCTCAACCACGTGTCAAGGTCTTCGCCCCTCTCATCCACTGTGAAAGGTTTGGGAGCGGCGATGGCCGTCTTTGGAACCCACTGTATTTGTCCCAGTCCCTGCACGACTCCGGCTGTGGACCCGGTGACACAGGTTGTTGTGCTAGCTGTTGGCGCTGCGTGCCTTGAGGCTGCACAGGCTGCGAGACAGCAGGCTGCGTGGTGACTGCAACCTGCGGCGGACTTTGAGTAAACACTATCTGTACAGGAACCTGCAAACTACTCCCTGCTGTTACCCCTCCTTACAGCGGCATGCCCAGGGAAACGATAGCAACCGATGACGGGGCTACATATGGGGATACCCCTGTCACCGGTGGGACAGAAAAAGGAGCATATGGCACGGGCCAGGCACTAGGCCCGGCTGGTGATGGTGCTGCCTGAGCACGGCCTGCCAAAACGGCAAGGCTCAGTTGGATATCCTGAAGGATGGTCGTTTGCTGCTCCTGCATCTCTATTACGCTTAGCAGGGCCTTCCTAACTACCTTCACATCATCATCCATGTTCATCAGGTCCATCGTCTCTAACTCCTCTATGTCTGCCCCTCTCCTCTACATCCTGGCTCTTCTTCTGATCATCTTTTCCTTTTCCGCTTTTCTCTCTCCTAATGCCCGTTGTAGTTGTGCCTCCTGCAGAGCAGCCTATCGGATGGCGACATCCTCTGGAGTCAACACCGCGGCCTGGCTTGCCATAACGCCAGTAGACTGACTCACGGTCTGCACGACCGTTGACCTGACGACACTTGAACTACTGGCTTGGGAAGTCTGCTGCGCAGAAGGGACCATGGTTGTAGTGGCCATGGCTGCTGTAGCACCGGCCTCGCTAACTAAAGTTCTGCTGGCCTCGGGTGCTTTAGCCCTCCTCTTCTGCTGCTGCCTCTCCCTAAATCGACGGAACAGAATCCTCACCCTCCGCTCCTAAGGACACGTGAGCTATCGGGCGTCTACCTGATCGCAAGATCCTCCGGTTGTCCTCTCCGATATCCTCCTCGTCGCTCATAGGCTACAGCACTGTGCACTGTCTACACTAGATCATTCAAGATGCCTACCGCAACATAGTGCACAGACCAACTAATTAGTTGGTGGCTATTTCGGAACAGATATCACTTGAGGTCAACAGGTAAGTAAGATTCCTACAACTGAAACTATTTTAAGTCTGACTAGTCCGCAAACAAAGCACCAGGAACAATAAACAGTTCTAACTAATGTTGTCTGTCAGATGTCAATGGCAGTACATCAAACTAATCAAAAACATAAAAAATAAAATCAGTTGTGTGGATAGGACAGCATGGCATTTTCTCGAACTTATCTCCTGGAATCAACCCCTCCCTTAGTTCCCCTGAGTATCTCTTGACGTCAGCGTCCCTGAGCAATCTGGAGGCGTAGCGTGTCTAAAGGTGTGTGTGTCCGGCCCACACCTGTGCCCCGAGTATCCACTGAGCTGGCCAGCCTTGCACGTATATTTATCCTCGGCGTGCCGCGAGACTTACATCACTGGCTATCCAGAGGCATTTTAAAGTCCGCCCCCAAGTGACATCAGGAATTATTTTACGTCGCAACAGGACGACGATCACACCCAGAGATATCCCCTTCCCGTGTTTATTTATAGACATCGGGTGCTCGTCTTTCCTGTAGGGCTGGCCTGCCCAGTAGTACCCATCTAACAGCGCAGCAAGCCGAACAAAGGACAAGCAGCAAGGCATGCGTGCTCTACTCCCTATGGGTTGGCATAGTGACCGTGACCCAGTGCTTCGTCCAGGGCGCTTCAGAAAGCTCCGCCCATCTCCACCCAAATGCTCCACGTGAACATTGCCGACTCTCAAGGTTGAGCGCACTCGACACCTCACGATGAGAGGACTCTCAAGAAGGAACACACAACCTCACGGTAAGAAGTGTCGGAGAGGGAAGATAAGGTTAAGAGCAACGTACCTCATTTAGCTGCCCCCAACCACAGAGATAATCTCACCAGATGACCAAATGGCGATTGCCATGACCAGTCACTACATCGGCACAACCAGCATTATCTCGCCGTTCCACCTCAGCATCAATCGCACATTAGATAGTTCTCACCACACTGTCCAGACCACATTCACCTCACATAGCCTTCCTGGCGATCCCCTCACCTCCTGGGTCGCCTTCACACTCGTCTCCACCCTCCTCACTACACACCACTAACGGCCAAACTCGCCCAGCAGACCGCATGTATGTACCGCATAAGGCAGAAGACAAGCGTGAGATGAGCGCAATCGTACCACAGCTCCGATACCAAATTGCAAGGAAGATGAGCAATAGCGAACTTCAGCAATCAAACAGCATCATGCATATGAGTCGAGATAGTCTTGACCTCGAAGCAACAGCAAAATTGCATCACGAGATTCACCAAATAAGAACACACCAAGAGTTCATAATTAACAATGCTGAAATAGTCCCATCATCATCAATGAAGAACCAGAGTTGATATCCTATCTGGCGCTCGGCGCCCAGACTACATGTGGCAGATCCCACATAGCCTATACTACGAAGCCGAAAGATGTCGTCAACAGCATTCCCGAAGTACGAGCATATGGCGACCAATGTCGCACGCTTCCAGCACCAGGTATGTCTCGCGCTACACTCACAACCTCGTTCCCCAACTCACAGATGCCACTAGCACCCAAGGACCACCCTGCGCCTCACCCAGCTCACAGCAGCGCAGCTCGGCTATGGCTGCGTGCTCCTTCCCTGCTCGCCCGTGAGAGTGTAGGCGCCAGCCAGCAAATAGCGCAGCAGCAGCGCTTGCGCAGCATGCAGCCAGCACCTGAATGCCGAATGAGGAGGCAGGCCCTTTCCTATATCGAATTGGCCTGCCTGCGTCCAATCCCAGGAAGCTTCCAGTAGGCCCCGGTAGCCTAAGTCCCAGCATGACGAGAGCAGGCCTTGGGCCTGAGGTGGTTGCATGTGCCCAACTGCCTTCGGCCTGTGTTCGGCCCGGTACCCGTATCCAGCCCAGGGCCTGCTTCACATACATTCACATAGGCGGCCCAGGGCCTGGGTTCACTCAACCAACTGGCGCTGCGCAACTGCCTGAATTTCCCTGAGTTGCGTGGTGGCCAGAAAAGAGCCCTAAGGGCCTCGTCGAACCTGCCTTCACTTAGGGCGGCCGATGGGCTGCAAAATGGGGCCTTATGGGGCTCATTGACGCACTGGCCTCGCAGCTGAAGCTAGGGCCCGTAATCTTGAGGCTGCAAGAGAAGCAGCAGCAGCTAGAGCTGTAGCAATGGCTACTTCTGCAGCATCTGCTGCAAACTCAACTGGTCAAGGGCTAGGCATGCCGACCAGTTCACAGTCAATCTCCAGTACGTCAGGGGTTGGCACTAGTCAAATGGCGGGCTTGCAGTTCAGCTCGCCGCCTCCACGCACCCGGGAGCAGATGGAGCTCCAGCAAGTAGAGAGGATCCACTTAAGGTTAGAGGAGGAACTTAGACAGGCTACTAAAAGAGAGAAAGCGATCAAAGAAAGAAGTGTCAGATTAGAGGGCAGGGAGGCAGATATGGCTGCGCTAGAGGCATTGGAGGACTCCGCACTTAACACTACAGGAAAAGTCCTGAAAGCAAGTGTCCTATCCATGCATGCGTGCATAGACAGTAAAATGGATGCAATGCAGGATACTCTAGACCAGATTCTACAAGCGCCGCATAAGCCAGGGATCCGGCCAACAGCTTTACCATCGCTGCCACTCTCAGCGATGACAGGCCTCTATGCCGCTCAGTCAGGACCACCACCAAGTGTGTCATCAACAGTAGCTCTATCTCAAACTGTTGCTTCTTCATCTTCTGGTCCAGCGACTATTGCTACACCACAATCGCCACCTGTCTCACAACAGGGACAACAATATCCTTGGTACCCCAAGACCCCACTGAACCCACCTGCAAAGAGGAGGTGATTACTGTTGCATCCTATTTAGAGGGTTCAGCAGCCCGTTGGCTAAACGCATTGGTAGCTTCAAAGGGCTTCGACAGGAACATGCATGATTGGGTGTAGACCCACACATTAGAAAGCTTTATGGACTTAGTGGAGGCTCGTTGGCACAACCCTCAGCAGGCACAGATTGCCACTGATGGGCTCTTGAAACTTGATACTAGAAAGTACAAGTCAGTGCGGGAACTCACCACAGCCGTAGAGCGCATGATCGTCGTCCCAGGAGTGGAGTACAGCCCACAGGTCTTGCTGACCATGTTCCTGAGATGTCTTCCCACAGACATTAGGAATTTATTAGCCAGCGAGACTCGCAGAGAGTATCACACTTTTGAGTCATTCAGCAAGAAGGCCCTAGACTTAGAGGTTGTGCTGGGTGGAGCTCAAACCCCTTCTACAGATGGGAGAAAAAAGAAGACTCCACAAGAGTGGAAGAAGAAGGGTAGCCGATTGATGATGGTTGATTCCGATGGGAATCAAACCGAGATCGATGATGTTTCCGATCTTGTAAAGGGTTCAGAGTTTGACGGCGAGGAGAGTGTTAAGGGTAGCAACCTCGCCGCCGTAGTCAAGACTAAGGCCGCCGGCCGCGGCAAGGGCGGTCAACAAAGGAGTCAGGGGCAGGCCGCTAACCCAAACAAAATAGCTGCTTGGGTTAGAGCAGATCTGGATCAAGAAGTGTGGCGGGACCGTTGGTCTCGTGGTGCTTGTATTAACTGCGGTGAGTATGGTCACACACAGTTCAAATGCGAAGGTCTTACAGAAGATCCCTCCTAAGGATGGGTTCTCTTCTTCTCAATCTGGGGCCTCTACGAGCTCCAGCTCGGGAAACACTTAGGGCCCGTAGAAGTTATAGCTGCTTCTACTCTCGTTGAAGCGGGTGATGTACCCTCCCCGTTTCAAGAGATGGTCAAGACTATTGACTCCTTAGTCACCCCGCAGACGCATCCGGACCCAACTATACTCTATACGTTGGATGTGTCTGAAGCCTCAGAGGACCTTCAAGGTGAGTGGTCGGCAAGGGACCCTCCTGAGTCCTGGGTGGCACTGAGTAGAGGTCCTAGAGGGGAGCATTTCGTTGTGGAAGTTGATGTGGGTGGTCGCAAGTGCGGCGCCTTCGTAGACATTGGCTCCACACGAAACTTCATAAGTCGCGACTGCGTTGACAAACTGTGCCTAAAGGACCGGGTGCAGCACCTTAGTAGACCGGTAGCATTTACTTTGGCCAACAAAGAGTGCATGATGGTGGAGGACTACGTTAAAGATGTAGTCTGCACCTTCTCCTACCCAGGAGGAGAGATAAACCATAAGATATCATTCCTGGTGAGCGACGAGTTGCCCTTTGACATGTTATTGGGCATGTACTACCTCGAGGTTGCCAAGCCCCAGTTCGACTGGGACAAGAAGGTGTTGAAGCACGAGTTGCCACATGGGAGGACCGTTAAACTGGCCAAGTATAAAGCCAGTAGGTTAATAGACTCCTATGGCTGCTAATGCACATCTGCCTTCTATAACTACTATAAACAGAACCAAAAGGAAGGAATGTACTTAGTCTATGTCTCTGCAAAAGGGGAGGCCGTTAAAACACCCCCAGAGATAGAGACCATCGTCGCTAAGTACCCAGATCTGTTTGAGGAGCCTACAGGAGTCGTAGACAGGGAGATTGTCCATGCCATAGAGATTATCCCAGGTAGTAAAACACCTAAGGGTAGAATCTATAGGATGGCTCCAGCCGAGTTGGACGAACTTCGGCGGCAACTGAAAGACCTCACAGAGAAGGGTTGGATTCGGTCTAGCACTTCCCCCTTTGGCTCACCAGTATTGTTTGTTCCAAAGAAAGGGGGAACACTAAGGATGTGCATTGATTATAGAGGCCTCAATCCCATCACCGTTAAGAATGCAGAGCCTCTACCACGCATCGACGACCTATTGGATAAGGTGCAGGGATGTAAGTACTACACAAAGATAGACTTAAAATCCGGCTACCATCAGATTGCAATTAGACCAGAGGACCAGCACAAAACCGCATTTCAGACCAGGTACGGTCTGTACGAGTTTGTGGTGATGCCCTTTGGCCTTTGCAATGCGCCGGGTACATTCCAGGATGCCATGAATAGGATCTTCCATGACTACTTGGATAAGTTTGTTGTTGTGTACCTCGACGACATACTTATCTTCAGTAGATCTGTCGAGGAGCATGCTCAGCATGTAGACACAGTACTTTCACTCCTTCGGCAGCACAAGTATAAGATAAACTCAAAGAAATGCGAGTTTGGTCGCACTCGAATCTCGTACTTGGGTCATGAAGTATCCGCGGATGGGATTAGGCCCGAAGATGCTAAGGTCGCTAGCATACGTGACTGGCCACGACCCCAGTCTGTGACTGAGGTGAAATCATTCTTGGGAATGTGCGGTTATTACCGCAATTTCGTAAAAAATTATAGCACGATCACATCTCCCTGGACTGATCTAAGTGGACTTGACACACCATGGGACTGGACCGACGAGTGTGAGGCAGCATTCAAACGTTTGAAGCATGCTCTCACACACCATGAAGTTCTCATGGTACCCGACCCCCGAAGGCCATTCGTTGTGGCCACTGACGCAAGCCAATATGGGATTGGCGCAGTGCTGGCTCAGCAGGAAGGGAAGAAGTTGAGACCGATCGAGTACATGAGCAAAAAGATGCCTTCAAAGAAATTGGCATAGTCCACCTAGGAGAGGGAACTCTACGCTCTTTACAAGGCACTTGCCCACTGAAGGCACTACCTGTTAGGGAGGTTCTTCTACTTGAGAACTGACCATCAGATACTCAAGTGGATCAAGACTCAACCCGTTCTCTCCGATGCACTCAAACACTGGATTGAAGAATTTCAAACTAGACTATTTGAAGGGAGAGTACAACAAGGTTGCAGATGCGTTGTCTAGGAGGGCAGATTACCTAGGTGCGCTGATTTCTGATTTTGATTTGTCTGAGGACGTGACTCGATCATTGGATGAAGCCTACAAGGAAGATCCCATCACGATGGACATCATCAACAAACTACAGGCTAAACACAACGCCACCACTGATGAATTTGTGATGGTGGATGGGTTGCTCTTTCTTGAGAAGGCAGGGTTCAAGAGGTTAGTTGTTCCATCTAGGGAAACTTTGCGTAGTTTGTTTTTAGGTGAATGCCACGACGCAACAAGACATTTCGATTATAAGAAGACCAGTGCTAATCTAGTACAGCGATTCTGGTGGCCTAACATGCTTGACGATGTGAAGAAGTACGTGGAGACCTATCAGGTTTGTCAGCGGGACAAGCCGCGAACTCAAGCTCCGCTTGGGTTACTCAAGCCTTTACCCATTCCTGTTGGCCCAGGTCAGAGTATCTCCATGGACTTCATGGATACTCTAGTGACCAGCAAGGATGGCAAGAGGCACATTTTCGTCATAGTGGACAGGTTCACTAAGTACGCTAGACTAATCGCCATGCTAGAGACTGCCAGGACAAAGCACGTCATCAAGTTGTTCATGGACAACTGGTGCATGACTTTGGACTTCCAAAGACAATCCTTAGTGCCAGAGATGTGAGATTCACAAGCGAGATGTGGAAGAAGGCCATTGAACAAATGGGCAGCCAACTTTAAATGACTTATGGGAATCATCCCGAAGCAAATGGGCAGGCTGAACAGATGAACCGAGTGGTGCAGCATCTGTTGAGGCATTACATCAAGCCCAACCAGGATGACTGGGATGAGAAATTACCTCTCATCGCCAGCCTATACAACAATGTTGTACACAGCACCACGACGCAGTCCTAATCAACTCCATCTCGGGTGGAAGCCTAGATCTGCTCTAGACTTCCTCCCGCCTGAAAACCGAACTGCTGCAACTCCTGGAACCATTGAATTTGGTGTCCAGTATGAGAAACTGTTGCAGCAGACTGTCGAATACATCAAGAAATCTTAAGAAGCCATGATTGCTTCTGAGAACAAGCGTCGCCGACAGTCCACATTTCAGGTAGGGGAACGTGTCTGGGTCAAGGCTAGGGAGTTGGGACATGAGTTTGGCATCTCTAGGAAACTAATGCCTCAGTATTTCAGTCCCTGGGAAGTCCTAGTGTGGGGAATGATTTGGGTGGTCCTTTGTGCTTCATTCGTATCCCTGGTCACTTACGCACTTACTCTGTTTTCCACGCCTCCAAGCTTGCACCTTCCGCTGAGACAGCACAGTTCCCATCACGGAGATCTATGCTGCCCCCAACCATGGATGGCCACGTGGACGTCGTCGACATTCTGGATCACAGAGACACGCCTGTTCCCAAGCCACCTGGCAAGGGAAGACCTCCCAAACCTGCGAGGGAATACAAAGTACATTTCAGGCATCATACAGATCCGAAGGAAGATCGATGGATTTCAAGGGAGGAACTTGTCAAGACAACTCCTTAGATCGTGGCAGATTTTGAAAAGAAAATGAGGGGAAGGCACCAGCATGAAGCATCTCAGCGGACTTTCGAAGCTAAGGGGGATGGAATGTGAGGAACGAGCCCTCAAGTGGCCCTACCAGACATCACATTGTTCTAGGCTAAGACCCCAGCAAGCCAAGTGCCCGCCCTAAGTGAAGGCGGGCCTGAATATTCGTCCCAGGCCAAATTCGACATTTCCATATGTGGGTATTCAGGCTCTGGCAGCGCGTCAGCTGATTGAGTGAACGCGCGAGCCTCACCAAGCTGCGTCGTACAGTTGGCCCGGGCCACGAAAGTTGTGCCTGGGCATATACACACAAAGCAGGGCCGATACATTGAGAAGCAGGTCGTCGGCCTTTGGGAAAAGCAGTACTGTCGACACATCTATCCAGGGCCCCTACGCAGATACAACCAACAGCCAGGCTGTGCTCAACTGAAAAGGGCCCAGGCCCTCAACTGTAAGTCTCGGGCCTGGGCACAGGGTCTGGGGCCCAACTGGAAGCTTCTGGAAGCTTCCAGCCAGGCCACACGCAGCATCCAAGAGGCTGACACTTCCATAAAGGAAGTGCGGCAACCCAGGCCAGGCATTCTGGCCAGCGTTAGCTATGCGGAAGTGCTGCTGCGCT